CCCTAGGGTGTGGTGACTCAGGGATTTCACTTTTCCGTCCACTAAGACTTGGTCGTTGTAATTATGCAGAGGTGTACGGTAGCCTAAATATTATCAACGATCGTTCGTTATTCTTACGACTGATATGGGAGATAAATACTATAGAGTGGGCTAATAAAACAGGATCAACGAAGTGAACGTAAGAACTAGACGCACGATTCGATTTGGTTATTCTGTCATACACTACATTTCAATTACCACGGTCAGTACGAACAGAGTTACTTGCACTACAAGCACAAAATTGGTGAGGGCATGACTAAAGATGATTGTTGCCCACCTAGGTTGGAATATACAGAAAGATTAAATGGACCAGTTAGCATTGTGCTCCCACAACTCATACACTGAGGCTATGCGTATAAAAGAAACCGAATCTTCAGCATATTGCAATGAAGAGAATGAGAGTAGCAGGCATTGATCACTCCAAACTCGTCTGTTCGGTTAGCAAAAGTTTTACTCAATTGCCAGCATACGGTTTTTCGTTGTAGTTACATGATGATGAACCAGTTTACTGTATACGGGGCGCACAATAAATTAGTTCGGTAACCAGTATGTGGATTTTATATATATTGTGCACACTTCCTCCAGGCCATCGTATAACTCGAACTGTATTCCCTGTTAGGTGAATCTAACCACATACTTTGATGGCTATTATGTAACGGCTTCATTTCAGGGGCTCGAGGACAATACTTGTAGTCTGGAGTTAAACTGGGTCCAGTATGCATCCACTATACCGCGTCAACCAAAAATACCGCATTCCGTGTGCGCACAAAAGGTTGAGGCAGAAAAACGATTGATTTAGCTTAGTAGGAAATCAAACGAGAATAACACTAGAAGTATCATTGTTCGGATGAATGCGAACCGCCTAAACGTATGCAACTACGTGTTCGTCCACAGGTGAAATACTTGTAGTTCGGCGCGGGTATTCAGTCGTTTCGGTGTTAGTCAAGCTGGGCAATTTGTTTTCGAACGTTTCATTACCAACCGACTTGATGTCATTAATGGATAGGAGTTTACGGGCTTATGATAGAAGCTGACGGAAGGTAAATCCAAGAAACCGCTAACCCCTACTCACTAAAGATGTCACCTCTACTGGCGACGAAAGCTTTGCAAGCAAAGTGTGCAGCTCGACGACACCGCACCAACTAAATATGCAATGCCTATTAAAAAGCCCATTTCACAGCTTCACCTTATTGGATTCTGTCTACAGTTACTTGAATTTATTGTTCTGATTGTACGTACTTTGTTTCGACCTTGGGAAACTGTTCATGCCATGAGAACGGCAACCTGGAGCATGTGCTCATATACTAGTTGCGGTGGAGGAAAGCGCTGTTGCCTAGTATAAGTTCATACTGCTTATCACTGTGCTCTCCCAGTCCAGTCTCTCCAATTAGTCGGATGTCAAGCTGATCATTTGCATCGAATGACAATGAATAATGAGGAGTGGAGAAACACTACACCTCCTTGATCAGAATACATACAATAATACAGGCCGTCCACTTGTTAGAATCAAACAGTATCAAGTGGAGCTATTTCGTTTCAGTCAGTGTAAGCTATGAGAATAACAAGGGTAAAGCGGTTAAAAGATTATCCAGAGTTTTGGGGTTAGCGGATGATCTACGCTGAATTCTATCGGGTTGCTGCCTCACACGTAATAGTAACACGCGTTAGCCTATGCTACTTAACGCTTTTCTGTGTTGCTCCAACCTATTCATCAAGTTTTGAAACGCGATCAACCTACGCCAACGTCCGTAATTGTGTACGAATATAGCCAACGTAGTGATGTGGACGTTGGCTTAATGATAAAGAGATGCTCTTCTGGAGCATACAACTGGAACAGCTTAGCTATACTCACGTCCAACCGATATACAGTGGATGCTACCTCACCAAACTCACGAATGTATCAGGATAAAAGTTTTCCAGATCACTTAGACACATTTTGCGACATTACAGTTCCATAAGTGAACAAAGTAAGGCTTAATTAAGTCGCCAATCGGGGCTGCTCTACATCTGGGTTGTAAATAAATGTTATGAGTAGCACTAGACAAATTACTCAGCCTACCCTCGTGTACTTAACGCACCATTGGAAAGAAAACTATACAGTCCGTAGTCCCAAACGCTAGTCTCTATTTTTCTTATGATAGAGACGTATTACGATGCAACTGCAGTTGTGGCCAAACATGTGATGCCACTATGCACAGATTACATATTTCCATTGGGGTCTGCGCAATCAACCTTGCGTTGTTGCAAAAAGCACATATTACTGTTCTAGTTGTGTCGGTTGCCTATTTGGAGGCATCTAATAATATTGGTAACAAATGAGCAAAACATTAGTACTTTCCGTCGTTCAAAGAGCTGACATTAGGTAAAGAAGGATGCAAAGAATGTGAAATTTCTGTTCCAATTCGATGTAGCAAGACAGCGGTGCACAAAGTGATCACTAGCTACCACTTAATGGTACTTTTTGACTAAAAGAGTAGTGAATGTCCGTGAAAAGAATGACTATTCTAGAAAGAAAATCAGCTTTGATTTTCTTACATGAAGTTGTTAAAGATCATGAAATGCTAGTTTTGATTACACTGCCGTAGCTGGGCGTTGTTTTTCGCGGGCATTCACTATCATTTCGGCCAGAAAAGGATCATACAACTGATAGCTAGTGATTGCATTGTAAACAGCTATCTTGCTACAGCGAATTTGAACAGATACATCACGTCCTTAGTACCCCTTCTTTAAGTTTAAATCAGCTTGTAGAATGACGTTTTGCACTATTTTTGCGAATATTGGAAAATTTTAAACAGATGAACCTTACAAATGGATAGCAGTATGTGCTTTTTTGCAATCTGTAACGCAAGTTGACTGCACAAACCACAGTGACTACAGTTAGTGTGTTTTAACATGGTAACTGATACGGTATCTGTTGTTACTTTGGATGTATGAATTCTCCGCCAGTTGTTCTTAAATTTTTAGCCGTGACTGTAGTTTAATTCCAAAATATGTAGAACTGTAGGCTCATTGTCTCTACGTCGATTTTATGTCACAGTAATAAGATGAAAGTCATCCTAAGGGAGTTGATCGCGGTAGAGTGTATGGATTCCTACATGTTGCACAATGAAAATTTGACAGAAATCTGATCCGGAAGGTTTATTGCCGCCAACACTCGAAGCGACAAGTTCAATTCTATTGATCATGCAGCCTACATGTCCATGCTCTTTCACAGATGCAGCCAGTAAGCATTTAAAAATGGAGCAGGTAACCACCTCTATGGAAAGATGCCGCTGAATGTACTATTGACTTTTTCGGTAGTCAACTTATCCGACACATTAGCAGGAGGGATTAATTATGGTTATTTGGCTGGTACACTATGATGTAATACATTTATTATACTAATAAGATAGATCTGCTCCTAATAAGAGCGAAGTCACTTTGCTTACGAAAGTAAACCTTCGGTAACCTCCATGGTCGGTACTAACCCTAGCAATCGTGGAGTAGCAACTATTCCCAAGTGCATTTTGCACTGACAGCCAACATTGTTGAGACTCTAACTGAAACACATGATACGTAACTGGAAGACTCTTTCAAATGCCTCTGCTAACAAACGACTACTGCCTGAGCTGATTACTAGACGTTTTCAGCTTACTCGTCTTTGATACGTAGGTTCATGTTGCTCTGAAATAAAGAATGCCACCTCCTCACAGAAAAACCGAAGTACTTCAAATCGCATTTTGTTGCTCCTAGTGTGGAGCATACCTCGCTACATTACGTTCGCCAATATTCCGCAAAACGAAGCAATGGTATACGTGGCGTATCTTGTGGACGGCTGAATTGACAGCCGTGAGAATTCCTCTAAACCACGTCTCGCCGCTAAATACGCCTGATTTTTTACACTACTTAGGTGACTCGTGAATCAGTGTAACAAAGGTGTTTCAGCTGTTGTTTTCAGTACGACATTTGTAGGATGCATGAGATGTCCAAGACAGAGTCCCGCATCACTCATCTATACTGGTTTGGGATGAAAATTGCAGTTAATTGCCTCCTCCTGGATACACAGCCGAAACAAGAGTATGCCAACATAACCGTTACTACAGTCACTCAAGGCTTCGAGCTGGTGCTCAAGCTTGATACGAAGATAGTGTCCCATGCGCCGGACAGAAAGCTTTCCCCAGGTAATTGGAGACAAACAACCAGTTGGCTACAGTGTACGCATAAAAGCTGTGGACAATTAAACATAACAGTCACAGCTTTGGCGAATGGCGACATACCCCCAATGAACTGCTTCATTCTTGCTCATTGAATACGTGGTATTACACCAAATTACCATTAACAGTTTTTGTTTGTCAACATCGAACTAGACGCGTTATTTGCTTGAGTCTTAGATATAAATATTATTGGTACGGGACAGCAAGGTTGCATTTTGCGATGACTGCATGGATCTGACTCATGATGAACGTCATCAGATACTAGTGGCCCCGGCTAGATCGATTTTCACAAAACGTTCAACCAACTACTTACATCTACAAGTGGGATTAATTGATTTCGTTGCTCAAGCACCCTAAGGGATAGGAAACAAGTGGAACATTGACCTGCTGGGCACGTGAATGCGATTCGAATCACTGCACCCGTGAACACTTCCACAAAACAGATTACCCTTATATCATAAACCACATGCTGTGAAAAGTATCACCTTGGTAGATAAGTATTGCAAGGGGACACAGTTGCTCATGTCGGTAAAAAAATCCAGTTTATCAACAAAGCGTCATTCTTTTCACTGGCACATTTCACCATCGCTCCAATAACTTAGGGCCGTCGTTGTAAAATAATCAGAATCAGGAAGGCATGCCTACCTTAACTTACTTTTAACAAATATGTATATGTCTTCCTTGAAAGCCACGGTAGTGCTCTTATCTCTGGCTCAAGTTCAATGCACTATCATTAAGAAGCGAATAGAAGCTAATGCCTCGACTCACTTTGATTCCAAGTGCGCAATGGGTCGGTGACTGGTGTTCACCAGCAGTCGAGACTGAACCGGTTTCCACATCGGGTGTAGTGTGATTGGCTCCTCTTTGCCGAAGTGGTCCGAAAGGACTCTGGTGGGGGAACACGCCGTTCTCACGAGGCCCTCCCTTCAAGTCGTAAGATCTCATTAGTCCATTGTATTCCGTGGTCCCTAGTGCTATTGATGCTGTTGTCAAGGGAGGATTTCCAAACCTCGCAGACGGTGATCTGCCAGAGTCCTCCTCCGAGTCAGCCTCTTCCAAGTACTCCTCATAGCTTTCGTCCTCCAGGCATATGTCCTGGTCGCGCTTGTGAGCAAGTAACTGGGAGTCGCAACGACCTGTTATGGGTAGCTGGTCGTATAGGACGTTTGCTGCTTCCTTGCGCACCTCCCCTTGTGCCGTACTCCTGTCTCTGTCTGCGACATCACGATTAAATTGACGTTCCTCTGCTGCTGATCCAGAATGCTTAAAACTTCGGCTAGTTACACGGCATTCAGAGGATATTAGCTGATCGAACATTAGTGGGTTTGTGCTTTGTGTCTTGTCGTCCTTATTGACCCTCGTATTTAAGGATTTTAAGTTGTTTGATGATGCTTCCGTTAGACATCTAGGCCTTGACGCCACGGATGCTTCATTTGTCGATTCGCTGATGCTTGACGAGGAGTTTAAACTCTGGTCAGCATTAAAGCCGCCAGCTGTGCCAATGTGATGTATCGTACGAGCACCAGTGGGAAATGTGGTGGAATGTGCATAATTGGAGCTCAATGTCGAATATGAAAACCCCGTTGATGAGGATTTTCTTGACCAAGATTGATTCTGAGTATATAGCTCGCCAGGAGTTGGACGTGCAAATGGCACCGGGGTTTGTTCTCGACTGAACGGAGTAAATCGATGCTCGGCATATCCGGTATTGTCCATCGCAAGTTGGGGTGAGGAGCAAATGTCCATTCTTCCGTTTGCAATGACTATGTTTTCTTCATTGTTCACTGTGGAGACAATATCGGGATCAGTTTTGTAAATCGGTATAACGGATTCCTTCATTCTAATTCCACTTCCCTTGAGGATTGAATCACTGTATGCACTTTCATGTGTAGCCATCTGTGTAACTTATGGAAATGGTGAAACAAAAGGGTACGTGAGTCTGAGGAAGCAATCGATTGTTGGTATCGCTACCATCCAGGCATCCGGTGTTTCATAGACAAATCAGAACAGATATGGGTGTGGAACTCCGAAATCACCCAACTTCGTGGTCAAGATAATCAGCTAACTGACCACAGAATAGGCATACGTTCGATTTGGTCGGTGATTGGTTTGTGGTCAGCATGAACGCGTGAGCCAATCATGCTACGAATTCAATGTATTCACTGTCCGACCTCACCGAGCGCCTGACCAGGCCACACCAATCAACCGAGCCTCGAGGTTTGTGTTCGTATGCGCGATTTATTGTGTATGCGCTCATGGGTTACCGCTTCTCCACGGCCTGTGAAGGAAGATGGGTGCGTCATGGCCCACCCCCTGCCAGTGGTGGGCATGGGCGGGTAGAATAGCTAGTGGGAGTGGGGGGGGGTGTGTCGTAGCACTCAATACCACACGTGGCGCGGATGGAGACAGACAGCGAATAGCGAAACTGAGACAGGAAACAGGAAGGGGAAGGATGAGAATGGGAGGAAACGATCATATGCGGTTCAACGCAGCAGACAGCCACAAAACGTGATACATCAGTTAGGCCGGAGGTCCGCCTGACTGGTGGTTGGGCTAGAGAATCTAGTTGTGTAATGAGAGGTTTGAAAGATTTCGTAAGCAACAGCCCACCTAGTTAGCCCACCGGTAACAAGAATTGATTGATTAACTATAAAAGTCGAGCTTGAAAATTACTTCCAAACAATAGCTCCTGTTCCAGTGACTAAGGTAAATCGTGAAATGCGTGTGATTTGAAGTTATGCAGTAACACGAACGGTTTTAATCACAAGAACCTACTGTAAACCAAATGGATCAAACCTGTAATCAATATAGGCAGATTCATGTCAATCATGCATGGGTCCTTGTTTGAGCGGTAGTGTGATTGTGCCTCCTAGTACGCGGCATTTTAAAACATGTCTCCATGAATTCGGACAAACATACGGGGGCTCCAAATTCCAAACTAGCTGAAGCAGAGTAATACCGACCGATGTTCAGCATTTCGGATCATGACTGACTGACGAAGACTGATGGGCATGTGGCAAATGCCGGTAACTAGGGCTATCGATCTTCATAATTTCTTCAAGGAGTTAGCATTTAATTTGTAGAATCGGAGTAACTCGTGGTTGTAAGCAAGTTAGCTTAGAGCGGAAGCAACCACACCCAAAATGAAGTTTGAATTTCGCGGGATATTATGTGCAACGCAACAGACAATGCAACAAAATAAATTCTGAGGTACTCATGAGTAGAGCATTTGGATATAATTAATTGTAAATCATGACGGTCCGAAGCTGTGCCCCGTAGCCCAGTGGCATAAGCTGCTGACTGGCGGTTTAAGCCGCTGGTGGTCATGGGTTCGAATCCTGATGGAACCGATAGATGCGCACTATTAATGATGCCCAACAGGCTGAAACTACAGTCTAGTGTTTTTCCGGGCATGTGGACGATTAGCTGATTTGGAAGCTGGCTGCGAAGAACCTAAAGTAAAAATAAATTCTGTCAGTTTATTTAAAACCATCACATTCACAAGTTCTGAGATGGAACTCTGGGTTTCTGTGATTCTGCTGCGGTCTATCTTCTATTTGTTGTAACCTCCCTACCTGGCTCTCACTTTCAGTAGCTGCAACTGAACCTAGAGCATTAGAGTATACCTTTCAGAAGTAGAAGAATGTTCTTTCTACTTGCCTGGCTTTTGAATTGTGTCTGGCCAACTTGCAAATTGCAAACACAAATCATCACGAAATCGAATTTGTACCATGCGTCTCCCGAAATTGTTTTCACCCTCCTGGAGATTGACCGACAATAGTGAACTCCAAAATGATTGAATTCAGCAATAATTGTAGCATCTTGGTTCGAAGTGATTTGCACTTTCGGCCGTCGCATCTTGGATGGTAAGGTACAAACAGTGGTCTATTACGGGGAAAAAGCAGTTACTTGATGATTCCCGTCGAATGATCACACTGAGAACCACACATGGAGAACATAGAAAACATAGTGATATTATGTAATACAGTTTGCTGGACTCGCCAGCGTTCACACAGACATGCGTAAAAGCGCATACATCGATTGTGTAAGTTAGTGCTAGTTGTGCAACGTTTGTCACATTATATCGTCTGTCGGTATACGCAACTTATAGTTTATGATGTAAATGGGTTAGGGCAACATTAAGGTATCTTTCAAACAGGGATATGGTGGGGTGGCAACACAGTAATTTTGGAGAGAGTTCCATGGTTGGCAGACACGAAGAAACTAAAAGTTTCGTGGAGATTCTAGCCGACTGTATTGTGTGACCAACTTGAGCTGGTGGCCCCTCAAATACATGTTGTGACTGAGTTGTAGTAGGTGGCGATAGACGTGGGTGGGGTTTTTCAGAATCTGGTAGGCATCGATACTGACCGTTGTAAAATTTTATAATCCAAGCCTAAGTTGCTATGTAAGGTTGAATAACTCTCTGACGTGCTTGGGGGCTGTTCGTTGTGGAGTCTCGATCGTTGCGAGCTCGTGTTTGTACCACGTCTTACAGGCCTGGCTTGCGTATTCTATATAAGACCGCACGTAGGTGTTAAGCAAGTGTGGTCAGATAGGTGGGTCGAACTACCCAAATACATTCTACAGCATGCCAACACGTTGGTTCCCAGTATTTGACGCCTTCCTTGATGGTTTTTAGAAGCCCAGATCGGCCTGGATTAGTAGCTTAAGGTAGAGCTCCAGAATGATTACTTGCAGAACATGGTATCCAAACTTGTATGTATGTTCGGCTGATGATATGTGGACTACTTTACATTTGGACAAATTAAAATGGAGCAGGTTTAGGAGTGGCCATCCATATGCCCTGTCCAGGTCTCGTTGAAGTGTGTAGATATCTCCTTCGTCGGCAGTCGTCCGCCACATCATGACATCTTCAGTAAAAACAGAAAACACGAGGCAATCAGCTACGTGAGTACATTAATTAACATAAGAAACAGACGTTGTCTCAAAACGAGTCATTGTGGAACTCCATTTTCGACATGAATCGGATCAAACAGCGTACCTCGAACACTTACCTCCAGTTTCCGATGCTATAAGGAGTTTCTGATTCACTCAAAACAGGATCTACAACTCCGTAGTTTTCGAGCCTGTGAGTCGAATGCGGTGGTCCAGGAGGTGGAATACTATTAAAGATGCAAGCAAGAGCAATGTGTACATCTGGGGCACATGAAAAATGGGAACGAGTTTTCCGCTAGGTTCTTGAAGCGGATATTCCGAGAATCAGTGCCTACATGGTAACAATAAACGCAGTTTGCTGGCACATGACACAGTGGAATGTGAACCGCTGTTTTTCGCCACAAGTACCGGTACACCTTCTTGCAGCACGAACAGCCTGAATTCAGGCTATCAGTCAACAGCACATCAGGTCAGTTTGAACAGGGGCAAATGCTGGAGAAAGTGGACACAGCACTCCAAGTGTACACGCTACCAGGCTATGGGGGGCCATAGACGAAGATGTACGGTTAACCAAAATAATAGAAATTCCCCAGCTGTACGCTGTAACAGCGCTTCGCTGCCATGCGACCACCACCAGTCGCGTGCGGGCTGAGTATACCACGAGGACGCCCACTCATAGGCGGACTCGAACCGGCGACCTTATGGTTGCAAACCAGGCGCGCAGACCACTCGGCCACCGGCCCATGTATAGTTAACTAGTCGAGGTTATTCTTGGACTTCATCCTTCACACATTGAAACATTTCACCGAAGTTCAGTTCAGGCCATCAACATAGGCAGTTTAATGGCGATTTTATCTTCTCGATAACAATATGATGAGAGTAGTAGGGACTGGCTACCTTTAGCAGATCGCAATAACGGTGGAAAAACAGTTTGGCAGCTAACAGACAGTCGTTCATCAGGAGCAATACGCAGCTCACAAATGGATCTGAGAAAACTGTCGCGTTTAAAAAATACTAGCCAACTATACGTTAGAGCTAAGAGAGTTGAGCCAAAGCATTTGACTAGCATGAATTAAGGGAGGTGAATTAAGGTAGGTGAGTGTGAAGCCAACAAACCCCGGAATCGATGAGGTCACGTAGCTTGAGATGTAATCAATACAACCAATTTCCTCAATGTTTTCATACCCAAAGGCATAGTCATATTCACTAAGTGCAATAATCCGTCACTAAACTAATGCAGCAAGGATTTTTATTACAAGCGTGAAGGAGTATAAATGAGCACTCACGCTCCATACTCAGTGACTACGGCAGTACGTATGCAGAGTTATGACGGCCCAATTAACAAGCAATACTGTGCAGTGCATTTGCACATATCTCTACCATGCCGAACCGACGAGAAATACAAAGAGCTAGGTAGCCATCCTGCCTCAAGGTAACATCTATGACACTTGCAGAAGCATCAGCAATAAGAACATATTGCAGTTTAGGAAGAAAGTAGGCGAAGTAAGAAGCCAGATGTGAGTGAGGTCAAAACTCTCAATCCGAACTCTTCATGCTTCTCAGGTCAAGTAAAACATCAGAAAGCACAATTGCGGATTAGTGGCAGAAGTGAGATTATGCCTGAAATCTGAGTGGTAGTATCAAACACCCATCAGTGCTCTAAATTCCTGAATGTCCGTCGGGGTTCAGCATTAGCACGTGGTTAGGAAGACCCGGGTCAGAATTCGCTCAAGACAAACTAGCGTAATGACCTAGACGAGTAAATTCGGCAGCACTGATTACATATGTTCTCTGGTTCATTTACAATAAGGCCAATAGATGGATTCCGAAGCACAAGTGGCAGACGATTGTGCTAAGTCAAGGTATTCCGATATGCTCGAACGCTTTCAATACACTTCAGTAACGAATTTATCCTATCTTGGAAGATTTTCGGAGACACATTGGAGTCATTAAAAGAAATCGTTACCAATGGAGGCCAAGAAAGCACTTGACTGCGGGTCATGCAAAAGAACAGAACGAATGTAGCCCATCATGAGCTTGCCAATCGAACGGATATTTTTCGTTCACATAACAGTCCAACAGCTTCAAGAACGGGCCACTTCATTCCAGAGCACGGTGTTTGGACATTGCAGGACCTCCTATGCATATAAG